TGTTGGCGGGGATGCGGAGAAAGGGGAACCGTCCTACACTGTTGGTGGGAATGCAAGCTGGTGTAGCCACTCTGGAAAACAGTATGGAGGTTCCTCAAAAAGTTGAAAATAGAGCTACCCTACAACCCAGCAATTGCATTACTGGATATTTACCCCAAAGATACAAATGCAGTGATCCAAAGGGGTACGTGCACCCCGATGTTTATAGCAGCAATGTCCACAATAGCCAAACTATGGAAAGAGCCAAGATGTCCATCAACAGATGAATGGATAAAGAAGTGGTGTGTACACACACACACACACACACACACACACACACAATATGGAATATTATGCAGCCATCAAAAGGAATGAAATCTTGCCATTTGCAATGAAGTGGATGGAACTGGAGGGTATAATGCTGAGCGAAATAAGTCAATCAGAGAAAGACATGTATCATGACCTCACTGATATGAGGAATTCTTATTCTCAGGAAACAAAGTGAGGGTTGCTGGAGTGGTGGGGGGTGGGAAGGATGGGGTGGCTGGGTGATAGACATTGGGGAGGGTATGTGCTATGGTGAGCGCTGTGGATTGTGTAAGACTGTTGAATCACAGACCTGTGCCTCTGAAACAAATAATATATTCTATGTTAAAAAAAAAAAGAAGAAGAAGAAGAAGATAGCAGGAAGGGAAAAATGAAGGGGGGGATGTCAGAGGGGGAAGCGAACCCTGAGAGACTATGGACTCTGAGAAACAAACTGAGGGTTCTAGAGGGGAGGTGGGTGGGGGGATGGGTTAGCCTGGTGATGGGTATTAAAGAGGACACCTACTGAATGGAGCACTGGGTGTTATACGCAAACAATGAATCATGGAACACTACATCAAAAACTAATGATGTAATGTATGGTAATTAACATAACATAATTTAAAAAAATGAAATCTTGCCCTTTGTGACGATGTGGATGGAACCAGAGGGTATTATGCTAAGCGAAATAAGTCAGTCGGAGAAATGTAAGTATCATATGATCTCACTGATATGAGGAATTTGAGAAACAAGACAGAGGATCATAGGGGAAGGGAGGGAAAAATGAAACAAGACAGAACCAGAGAGGGAGACAAACCATAAGAGACTCTTAATCTCAGGAAACAAAGTGAGGGTTGCTGGAGTGGAGGGGGGTGGGAGGGATGGGGTGGCTGGGTGATGGACATTGGGGAGGGTATGTGCTATGGTGAGCGCTATGAATTGTGTAAGACTGATGACTCACAGACCTGTACCTCTGAAACAAATAATACATTATATGTTAATAAAAAAAATTTAAAGAAAAGATTCTCTCTCTGCCTTTCCACCCCCCCAAAATAAATAAATACATCTTTTTAAAAAATAAAATTTTAATATTTTTAAATTGTGGAACAATAATGGATATAAATAGAAAGACCAATGTATCAACTTTTTTAGCCAATGTTTTATTTTTCCTATTAAATTTTTTTTGTCAAAGTAAAATTTATATATTGTAAAATCCACAGATCTTGAACATACAATCCATTGAGTTTTTAACAAAGGTATATCAAACACCCAATCAAGAAATACAAAATTTCTATCACCACAGAGCTAATATATTGGTTATATTCTTTCTCTGCTATCCCTGTAAGATCACTGAGATTAGTGCAAAATGCTTTTGCTTCCATAACTATTATTACAAATAACAATGAAACCCCAACATTATTAGAACCATTAAGGATGATAATCATGGTAGCTGATAAGAAGTTGGTTGATCTCTAGGACTGTACTGAGAATCCTAGGCCCAAATTGTGAAAAGTACCTGAAACAGCTAGTATTTGGAGTATTTTAATATAAGTTCCATAATAGTATAGTAATCTATAATAATGTCTTAGGTAAAACATTCCAATGACCTAATTAACCAGTGTAAGGTTATAAAGAATTATCTCCCTTTAGTTGCCCTAATTTTTCTTTTGTTTCTGGTTATTCAAATATCTATAGTACCTGTGTTTTAAATATTTCACTGATCGCATAGGGTAGTACTTCATAATAATAATAGCAGATCCTTTCCATCATATTTCATGCTGAAAGAACCCTTAGTTAGTACTTTCTAGACTGTTTATAATAGGTAAAAATCAATGCAATACAGGCACCTTTTTGGTAGAATATGCTTTAAACAAAGTGACAAAGCAAGCTACAATTTGTGAACAGTATTGGAGAATGCCATCTATATTTGAAATTATGAAGCGAACATTCATTTTTTTTAGACAGAAAAATCAATGCCCAAATTTTAGTTTTGCTAATATACAAGGTTTACAAAAAGTACAGTGGTATTTGGGCTGATCAGAGAGTCTTTTTTTAATAGTGACATTAAATATCTCTAAGGCATCACTGAATATTATAAGCAGTTATAAATTATTATAGAATTATGACTTATTGATTTCTCTTTTCCTAATTTTATTCACATCCTGAATTCCTTCCCTTCTCTAGCCAAATCTAGTCTTCTCACTTTTTCTTCCTCTGTTTTCAAAAGGATCTGGTAGCTAGCACTTCTCATTGCTGAGTGGAAAGAAGGCCGGACTTCTCCGTTAGTAGCTCAGTCTTCCCTGAAATCCCAATCTTAACTGTTCCTGGTGTGGGTTAGATGGGTTCTAGGATCACTTCTAAGCATCTTCAGGGTTTTAAGTTAGAGGACCTTGATAAAACTTTGAGGGAAAAAAAAAAATCTTAGAGAAGTAAGATTATGCCTTTGCGTATCAGTAGTCAGGTATATAAAAATGTGTTATTTACTGAAGAACATTTAGTGGGATAGTAAGGGAAGGTAGATTTTCATTTTTCCCTCTTTGTATAGTATTTGTAGACAGACGTTTTTCCAACACAGATGGCCAAAAATAGAAAGCAGAAGAGAAGCCTCAGTATTTTTCCCCTTCTCTCGCCCCCTCTAAGAAGTTTCAGTATTTTAAGGTGAGGGGAAACACACACACACACACACACACACACAGACTTATTTTGTGAAAGCTGGAAAATGGTTTTCGAGGACAAATGTATGATCTATAGTTGTAATGTTTAGATATTTGGCATTTGGAAAAAATAATTTTTTGATAAAATAGGAAAACAGGTTGACATAAATGTACATTAGTGTAGTGACTTTCATTTCTTGTACATACATAGTAAAATAGTTCTAGGCAATAAATTCTTGGAAAGGTAAGGTAGGATTGGATAAATGTCATAGTTTATGACTGAATACATATAAACAGGTGAAAACTCAAGATGGAGAGGTAATAATAACCACCTGATAAAGAGACTTAAAACCTTTTCACCCTACAAAAAAGATTGCCTTAGAGTTATAACTTGATATTATAGTTTGATTTTTAAAAAAGATATTGGTTACATTTGTGGCTACTATGGATATATAAAATAAAGAATGGAAAGCCTTCTGTTTCTCCCATATGAAAAAGCATTTATCATTTAAAACCTTAACTGTAAAAAAAAATTGATGCTATAGATTCTGGAACTAATACCAAGATTATTGAAAAAGGTGACGCAGCCACTGTTTCTGCCAGGGTGTCTTAGAAATAAAGAATCGTTGACAATGGAGAATTACATAACTATTTCAAGTCAGCTACCAAACTAAAGTTTAATTCTACAATGTAAGTAGTAACATCATAAGCCTTCAGACCTTTTTTTATCCCCCGAATCCAACCTGTGCCATCTGTAGCACCTCTAGATTTCAGGTTTTTCATACCTTTCATTTTTGCTTATCTGAGCCTCACCCTTTCTCCTCACAAGAATCCTTCTGTAAAGTTACTGCAGCCCACTTTGATTTTCCCTTTCCTCTCACTTTTTGTAGCACCCATACTACTGTTAAGACCTCCTCTCTGCTGTTTATGAGGCCAGAACAGTTTTTTCTCTTTCTTTGTACACATTAGTTAGCAAGTGCTGGGTGATTAGTAAGCATTACAGAAAACAGTTTAAAAGGAATTCAGAAGAGCAAGCAATTAATTCTGTGATAATGGGTGGTTGGAGGAAGTGGATCATAAATGGGGACCTAAACCAAAGGAAGATTTGATCTGGGAAAGATAAGAAAGGGCATTCCAGCCTAGGATCACAGAATGAGCTGAGGCCCAAATGTGTATAATCTCAGTGACTGGGACTACAGGTGTCATTTCATACTAGATGAATGAACTAATGAACAAGTGAATGAATTCATAGTGGCTTGGCCAAGGTTACTGGACTGTTCCTTTTACATCATTCATTCATTATACATTTTTGAGTTCTAGGGCACAAAGATGAAGAAATATTTATTTTTAGGAATTCAGATTTTAATGGGGCAGCAGAAATGTGAAAAATTATTAAAATAATTTTTAATTTTATTGGAGGAGGTATGCACAAGGTGTGTAGGAACACAGAGGAGAGGATAGGAGGATATCCTGTAGGATAGGCCGAATTCTCAAGGGCCTTAAATGTTAATAACGTTCAAATAACATTATTTGAATATGTTAATATTCAATTATATGTTATAATTGTTAAATAATGTTCCAACATTATTTTGGTTATTCTTAAGACAAGAAGTCACTATGTCAGAGCAACTTTGTGAAGGTGTAAGAAAGCACTTAGCCCTCCTAGAATTTCCTTGTGGATTTTACTATAAGAAACTTCTGAGTTTCCCTGGCCTAGCCCCATAATTATACTTCAGGTTCAGCAGACAGCAAAAGTCAGGATATAACTGGAAGAGTTAGCCATCTCTAAACTGTTTGGAAATACCATCTCAGAAGGCAGTAAACCTTTAATATTAAATTTTCACAGATATCAAATTGAGATGCCCTAATCAGTGTGGAGACCTGAAATATCTCTAAGACTTTAAGAATAGTGTTCATTTTGGAGGTGGTAATTGATCGTATTTAAATTCTGAAAAGAAAAAGCAAGGAAAATAATACTGGTTTGAATTTTACAAGTTTTAAAAGGCGTTCTCAAAGAACTAAACATAAGTATTTTTGTCTCAAATTAATTTTTATTTTCAGTCATTTGATTCTTCAAAAATCACAAGGAAGAAAAGTATTACAACTTATTCTCCAACAACTGGAACTTGTCAGATGAGCCCATTTGCTTCTCCTGCAAGCTCTAAAGAACAAGAGCACAAAAATGAACCATCAAATGGTTAGTTGAACATTCTTTTTCATTTATTGTAATATTTTTCTAGTTATTGGTTAAATCAGAATTTTTATTTAATAGTATATGGATCTTGCTGCAGCTGATTTTTTCTTTTTTCTTAAGGAATTCAACATAAAGAAGGCTAGAATATAGGTACTACTTTGGACATAAATGTAAACTTTCTAGGCACTTATTTTAAAATGCTACTGCAGACTTTGTTCCCTTACTCTTCCATCCATTAAATAGAAATTATGGTCTGACTGCCTTCAGCTACTATCAATTATAGTGGTTACAGATATACCCCTTAACAAGCTATCCATCATGTGCATAAATTAAAAGGCATATAATTCAGGTACTGCTGCAATACAGTTTAAGAGAGCTACTTCTAAATGTTATTTTTAGTCATGTTGTCCATTTAGTTTTATCCACATTTTGTTTATCTTTATATAGCTTGCTTTTATTTATTATATTTCATTCCCTTCTTTTCCTTTACTATCTTAAGTGCATTTGCAAAAAAATTTGTAGGGTTTTCCACTAGAGAATAACCCAATTTTAATATGAAATTGTTTATTTTAAAATATTTAGTTTAATTTTGACTACGCGTATTTCTTGTTTTCTCGTAGTTTATTGCTAAAATATTTAAAAGATATATGAATCTAGATTTCATAGGTTTACTTTTTAATATTACAAAAGGTCATGAATCAGTGACATGTCAGGTTTCTATAATATAAAATTCTAAGTAGGCTCAAATTTAATAAAATATATTTTAGATGTGCTATGATTAGCCTAATTCATATTTTATTGTTTAACATTTATTGAGTGCTAAGAATATACTAGAAGCTACACAGAAACAAAGAAATCTCATTTTACCTAATTTGTTGTAATGAAACCCATAATGAGATCTTAAACTTTTGAATGACTTTTATTTTACTTTAATTAAATGCTTTTTATCTTAAAGCTATTACTATTAGGTTTGCTTTCACAAAAATGTATGAAGATGTATACATTTTCTTCAAGCTCTGTTTTTAATACACTTAATATATCTTTTGTTTAAAATTAAAAATTAGTGCCTTAGAGATGGCACATCTCTATACTGAAATATGAATAGATTTTAAGTGGATGTGTATTCAATTTCCATATTGAAATTAAATATGGACTTAAGGGAATATTCCTTTTGCCCATAAAAAGATGGGTCACATGATCCTGGTTGACATTTAAGTGGATAATTATCACAGATTATAGTACTAAGTAAGCTCTTTTTTAAAAAGTCATATAGCAAGCGTTCCTGGGGTGCTGGTAATGTTCTATTTTTTAACTTATATAGTGATTATACTGTTTCATTAAACTGTACATATATATGTTTCATATACTCTTGATATATGTATCTCACATACAAAAGTCTCAACATAGAATTCTCTAGGATCTTATATCACATTATGTCATTTTTAATCATTACATTGCTTGTCCTAATATGTCATCTTATACATGTTTTAGAAATAAGAAAGCGTGACTCTTATGAAGTAATTTAAGTTCCAAATGATCTCATAACTTCTATTAACAATTCTCAGTTTTTAAATATTGTACAAAACATAAGATGCAACTTAAATAAGCACTTTTATTTAAATAGCATTTTCAAGGGCATTTTAAGTGCAATTCACTTTCCATCACACTTAGGATATAATTCAAAACTTTATGACTTTTAAGGCCATACATCATCAAATACCTGACCACCTCGTCTATCTCCTTTTCTACTACCCTTCCCACATTTACACTATAACCACTCTTACTTTCTTGCTACTCATCAATCATGTTAAACCCCTTCCTGCCACAAGGTCATTGCACTTTCAGGTCTCTCAGCCTGTATTCCTTCTGTTATACTCTTCCTCTAGGTATCTATATGTACTTTCTATATACATTTGAACTGTGTACTATGTGAACAGATGATTTATTATTAAATTTAAATACATTTGTACTTAGAAAGAAAAATCTGTTTCTAAGTCTTCCCTCTACTTAGACTCTACATGTGGGCCAAAAACGGGGTGAATGATTCCAGTTTGTACTTTTGAGAGATATATATTTATTTACTTATCATCATATATATTTCTCATTGTTATATACGTTTTTGTGTGTGTTATCATTGTATTGCTGCCCTCCCCTACCCCTTAGCAAATTTCTCCAAACTATTATGCTTTTCAGTAAAGAGGAAGGATGCATCAGACTTATTATTTAATAATTAGAGTAGAAGGATAAACAACAAATTTGCATAGTCAAAGAGAGTATTTGTGAATTAGACAATAGATCTGTAGAAATCACCCAGACTGCAGCAATGTAAAAACACAGAGATAAAGAAATGGAAATATGATAAAATGGTAAAGAGAAATGATGAATAGAATAAGAAGCTCCAACATACATCAAATAGGAGGTCCACAAGGAGGAAATAAGGAGAATGGGCTGAGGCAGTATTCTAAGATAAAAGGACTATCAATTTTTCATAACTTCAATTTCACAGTTAAGGAAAGATGAGAATTTCCAGGTTGGAATAGCATGCTTAGTCTGAGCAGGATGAATGAAAACAAATCCACACCTAGTCATATCATGGTAAAACTGCAAACTGTCAAAGACAAAGAGAAAAATTTAAAGGCCACCATAGAAAAAGACCTATAACCCACAAGGGAATGACAGACTGATAGTAGACTTTTCATCTATATCAACAGACTCCAGCAGGAAGTGGAATAATACCAAATAAAAATCACAGCTGAATTTTTTTATTCAGGAAATGAAGATGAAATAAAGATTTTTTTTCAGACAAAGTCTGAGAGAATTTACCATTCACAGAGACTCCCTGAAGGGGCTACTAAAAAATGTACTTGGAGAAGTAAACAGCCTCAGGTAAAGGAATGGAATGCAAAGAGCAATGGTGAAAAATAAATTAGCAAACATGTTGGTAAATTTACTATAAATCTAATTACAAAAATGTGACTACAAATTCTGCTCACTATAAAGCAAAAGACAAACAATTTGAGAGGGTTAAAAACAAATAATAGACTATAATAGCACGGAATACTGATGAGGGAGCAGGAAGAAGCTAAAGTGTTTTAAGATTCCTATAATTTTTAGGGAGCAGAAGAATATCTGTTAACTGACTTTATAATTGTGTTTTTTTGTTTGCATGTAAAAGTGGGGAAAATAATATCTACCTCAGGATTGTTGTGAGAATTAAATAAAGTAATATACAGGGGCGCCTGGGTGGCTCAGATGGTTAAGCGTCTGCCTTCGGCTCAGGTCATGATCCCAGGGTCCTGGGATCAAGTCCCACATCGGGCTCCCCGCTCAGCGGGGAGCCTGCTTCTCCCTCTGACCCTCTCCCCTCTCATGTTGTTTCTCTCTCGCTCTCTAAAAAAAATAAATAAAATCTTAAAAAATAAAATAAAATAAAATAAAAAAAGTAATATACAAAACACTCAGAGCATTGCCTGGCATATAGTAAGTTTTCAATACATATTTTAGCTGTTTTTATTAATATCATTAATATTAATAAAAAACAAAGCAATGATTAACTTTAAAAAAATTAATAGCTGGTATAAGAATATTAATATAGACCAAAATGGACTTTAAGGCAAAAAAACCTATTGAAGATAAAGGAATCTATACATAGTGACAGAAGGAAAGAGTCACTACTAGAAAAAGATTTCTGAAACTATGTGCATCTAAAACAAAAACAAAACATAATGAAATAGGACAGGATTACAAGGAGAGACTCACGAATCCCTAATTATAGTAAATTTTAAAGTACCTCTTTCAGAAACTGATGAAATAGATAAAAACTTAGGAAGGATATAAACAGTTTGAACATAGCTAGCAAGTGTGATCTAATGAAATGTGGTCAAACAAGTATAATACCCAACACATGATAAAGCATGACCTAGAACTTTTACAAAGAATATAACCAGTTTGGAGTCACAAAGAAGTCTCAACATACTAAAATTGCTGTCACAGTCGCTAACCAAATTTTGTGCAGTTAGGAATCAATAATAAAAAGGCAGCCCTCTAAAAATTTTAGCCCATGTGTTTGGAAACCTAGAATTCTAAATAATTCATTGTTCAGAAAAATCATAATGGAAAGTATAAAATATTTAGAATTGAATGCTAATAACAAAAAACTTACAGGAAAACTTTACACCTAAATACTGCTTTATACTAAAACAGTTCTCAGTGGAAATTTTATACTTTTAAATGCATATATTTAGAAAGGAAGAATGATTGAAAACTAATAAGCCAAGCATTCAACTCAGAAGGATGGAAAAAGAACGAACCCCAAAAAATACAAGAAAGGAAATAGTAAAAGATATAAAGTATTAAATAGAAATAAAGTATTAAATAGAAAACAAGGCAATGATTAAAAAAAAAAGCAGGTTCTTTGAAAAGACTAATCAAATGGTAGACTCTGTCAAGACTGATTTCTTTTTAAGTGGGAGAAGGAACAGACAATATGTATTTCAAAGGAGCTGATAAATTACTATCAGCTTAAATATATGATGAGCAGTTTGAGATATATGAGCCAAATGCTTCTTAATGTGGTCCACAATCTAATTTGGATGAAAGATTTTAAAATGTACCATTCTGCTTCTCAAATATTAATGTTTTAGTAGCTAAAAAGCAATTCCAATTTCTCATTGATACCTTTCTATTCAATAATATAGGTAAAATTTTAAGAATATTAAATTTCTTCCATGGGACTCAATAAAGGTATTTTGAATTTTAAAAAAGGAACCATTAACATTGTTATTTTTCATGAATTGATCCTCTAAAGAGGTTCTTCACTCTCCACTCTTGTTTAATAATAATAATTTGGTTAATTAAAAGAATAACATGATTTTGGGGTGTGTGAGTGGCACAGAAGGTTGGGTGTCGGACTCGGATCCTGACTCTGGCACTTACTAGCTTTAGGGCCTTGGATAAGTTATGTGGCCATTCTGTGCCTCTGTTTCCTCATCTGTAAAATGGGAATAAGAGTGACCAATGCAGTTTTGCAGATTAGTTTATATATGTAACATTTAAAACAGTGCATGGCCCTAAAAATACTATTTAAGTGTTAGCCGTTATCATTAACATCATTGATTGTACTTCTAAATATCATGATCTGTTGAAAGTTATCTTCATTAGTTAGAGAAGGGGCTCCCTGAGCCTTACCAGAGAGTCCAAAATATAATTTTGAATGTATCCCAGATTCAGTGATGGTACATTTTTCACCAGTGTTCTGTGAAACTGCCTTTAAAGGGAATCACATACACAACTGTTTGTTATATATAACCTAGGAAGAAAAAGTCCATATAGAATCTACAGCTGTTTACTGTATGTTAATTGCTAATAGAATGAAATGAAATCGAGGAAGCAATTTTTTTTTTTAAGATTTTATTTATTTATTTGACAGAGAGAGAGCACAAGCAGGGGGAGTGGCAGGCAGAGGGAGAGTCAGGCTCCCCACAGAGCAGGTGGAGCCTAATGCGGGGCTCGATCCCAGGATCCCAGGATCATGACCTGAGTCAAAGGGAGACGCTTAACCGACAGAATCACTCTTGGCGCCCAGGAAGCAATTATTAAGTAACTGGAATACTCTTTCTTTTTACTTCTTTTTTTTAGAGGGGTGGAGGGGCAGAGGGAGAGGGAGTGAGAGAATCCCAGGCCACAGAGCCCAATGCAGGGCTTGATCTCACAACTCTGAATTCATGACCTGAACCAAAATCAAGAGTCGGATGCTTAACCGACTGAGCCACCAAGGCACCCCAATAACTGGAATACTCTTAATGATATATTAGAGTCTGAACAGTCTCTGTTAACTGATCCAAGTGTTATTTTTGGAGATATTAAAACTCCTCCTATTTAACAATTGGAAAGTATATTAGAAATGTAAGTCCTTCTATGAGGAGATTGAGATTAATGCTATTGATTACATTTTATAGAATAAGATACCTAATCCCCTTACAATAATAAAAATGTTTCAGCAGGCATTGAACACCTGGTGAAAATTCAAATAAAGCATCCTTTTACTATTTCTCACCTAACTTTATTGACTGATGGTGCTAAAATGTGAAAATTAATTACAAGTTAAAGGAACAGAGTAATTTTAATGTTTAATTGTGGAGCTTAATTGAATGCAGACAGCATAGCACAAAATTCAGGAAATTAATATTAACCTTTAGGCAAAGATTTTCTGAAAATAAGGTTTAATGTGTATCATGGGATTTCATATCCAGCTTGATTTTTTTAAGAGAGATGGATTTTAATAGACTTTTTCCTCAGAGTTCTCTAAAATCATAAATAAAATATTGTTACTGTTGGGGCGCCTGGGTGGCTCAGTCGGCTAAACAACTGCCTTTGGCTCAGGTCATGATCTCAGGGTCCTGGGATCAAGCCCCGCATCGGGTTCCCTGCTCAGCGAGGGGCCTGCTTCTCCCTGTCCCTCTGCTGTTCCCCCTACTTGTGCTCTCTCGCTCTCTGTCAAATAAATAAAAATAAAATCTTTTAAAAAAAATTTACTGTTTTTCCCTTTAATCCTTTGTTAAACTCTTACTATTTGGAATTTAAGGATAGAGTCAAGGCAAATAATGAAAAGTTAATATAAAGAGATAACTAGTACTTTAGCAAGATCTCTAAATCACAAGTTTTTCTCTTTTTAGAATTAAAGACTATTTTGAGATAATTTAGTTATGATACGGTTTTGTTTTTTTTTTTCTGAGAGAAGCCATAAGATCCAAAGTAACAATGAGGGAAATTATTGTTAGTTTCTGAACCAATTTACTCAGTGAAATTATAAATATCAGAGAATAGAAAATATACTTTAAATAAACTTTTCCCCTAGTAATAGGAGCAAATAAGAGTAATGGAATAAAAATTAAGTGAAGAAAAAAGTATAAACCAGCATTGGAAAGTCTGTTCCAGACAGTTATGTTAATAAATTATATTTGAAAATTTAAAGAAATTGCCTTCGTGTTATTTGTGTACTCGGTTTCATGTGGAAGTATCAGATCCTCCTGCAGTATTACATAGAGCTATACTTTCCAATACATGTAGATACGGAGCATTTGGACTGTGGCTCATCTGAACTGAGATGTGCTATAAGTGTAAAATATACACCAGATATCAAACACAGTGTGAAAAAGAGAATATGAATGATCCCACTAATAATTTTATATTATCATATGTTAAAATTAGAGTATTTTGAGTATGTTGGGTTAAATTAAATAATAAAATGTATTTCACTTGTTTTTCCTTTGTAAAGAATAAGGACATTGAGTTAAATAATAGTTCCTGTGCCAGTTGTTGAACAAATGCAACAACGTAAGAATACATAGTGTAAGGAAGTTGTTACCAATTTTACATTTAAAAAAATGATTTCTCTGGACTTTTTTCATTTGTAGTAAAAAGTTTGGATTATTTATTCATTTGCTTGCTTATTCATTCAATAAACATTTATTGAAGGCCACTGTATGTAAGACATTAAGAATTTTTTTGCTAATATGTCCTCAAATACTTACTATACATCAGATATGTTTAAAGTATATGGTGTACTGTACTATGAGGTACAGTAGAACCAACAACTAAATGGAGAGCTCATAAAACAATTATCTATTTGACCACTAATAAATGCAAACATATTCTACTAGAGCTATAAAATCAAATTTACCTTTCAACCCCACACACAGGATCTTTCCAAGAGTTTACTAAATCATTATGCATTTTTTCAATATGTATTTAAAGTCAGGCACATTTATCAAATTTATTTTACTGTGACATCACTAGAAACTCACTATTTTATAGATATAAGTATCACCAACCTGTTGTTAACTTTGAGGAAAAAAATAGGGGTGAAATAATACAAACTGGAAACTTTAAGATAATATTGTTTATTAAAATATTTGATAAAAGTATCCTTTATCTAGTAAAGATTATTTTTTTTCTATATAAAGTCATCATGAGTAAAAAACTGGGATATTGGGAAATTTAAAAAAATAGCTATTGAAAAGTTATTCGTAATAGTGATTTTTTTTTCCATAGCAAATTCTAGGATACTTTTTCTTTTCCTACCTTCCTTTCATTAGTCTACCTTTTTATTTTCTATTTAAACTTTGGTGATCTAAATTCTATTTAAAATTTGACAATTTTCCCCTTAACTTTAAGTTCTTCTTTTTACTGCTTGTATATAGGAAAAAGGAAAAAATTGAGGCACCTCAGTTTAACCGAAAGGAAGGAATCTACAACAAAAGACAATGATGAGTAAGTTTGTTGTTTTTGAAATAATAAACACATGTGTCTTAAAAGAAAAGAATCATATTTCTTAAAGTAATAATTTAAGAGAAATAATCTATTTGCAAAAATTAAAAAATAGTTTATACCTGAGTTGAAGTATTCTTTTTTAAAGAAGTAAAATATTTTGTGATGGGTTTTACAGTGTTCATGTAATCATGATATGTAATATCTTAATTTTTTTTAATTTTTTTTTATTTGAGAGAAAGAGAGAGTGCAAGTGGGGTGAGGGGAGAGGGAGAGGGAAAGAGAGAATCTCAAGCAAACCCCCCACTGAGTGCAGAGTCCCATGCAGGGCTTGATCTCAGGACCCTGAGATCATGACATGAGAGAAAACCAAGAGTCGGACACTCAACTGACTGAGCCACTCAAGCGCCCCGTGATATCTTAATTTTAATACTCATTGAGTGCAGTTTCCCAGCCCATAAAAAAGAGACCAGCTTAAGATAAAACTGAGGAAAGTGCCCTTTTCAGATTTTATATGGATGGAAAAATAATCCGTTATCTGGGAACATAATGCCTAACAAATAGCTGGTTCAAGAGCTAGGAACACAGTGAAGCCAGCAGAGTAAGAGATCCAGAGGAACCCAGGAGGCTTTTATATACCAGCACCCAACCATTTTCCTGTTGGCCAGCCAGTGCTGCCTTGAATGAAGATATTATCTACAAAAATTTACTTCCCATATATATCCTGGAAAGAATAGTTATATCTATCCACCAAGGCTGGAACATTGAATTAACCAGAACAGGGGGTTAAATTTTCAAAGTAGTTCATATGTTCAGCTCATTTACCCTTTCAGCTATATCGTCTGTGTGCCACACAATATGATGGGTGGGTAAAGATGAAGAAAATGAAATTTCTACCCATTGGGAGCTTATGGTCTTATGTTGTAAGTTAATATACCTTTCCAAACTTAGAAATAGGTTATAAATTATGTTTCAAAATGTTTTTTTAAATCATTTGAGTGGAATTCAGAATGCATTTTCCATACGAATAGTGTTGTAACTTGTGGTTATAACCCCAGAAGTCTATTTTTTTCATAATGTAGCTGAACTATAGTCTTAATCAGTACTAGTCTAGATTAAAATATACAAAAATTGAATGCCATTTAGAGTACAACAGGGACAAAGGGAAGAGTTTCACAGAGAAATTTCTTTGTTTGGCATCTCCTACATCTATCATCATACCCCCTTTATCTGCTTTTACTAGATGCTTTTCCTAGCCACGCTCCCCCAGCTCCAAATATTTTCATGTGCCCTGTCCCACAAATATTTTCGTTGTAAATTACTACTCCTTCCTTCCCCTAAGCAAAGTTCCCATTTCCTCAGTGAAACCAGTCTCAACTAGATATTAAGAGGAAAGCATTCTTGGGGTTCCTGGGTGGCTCAGTTGGTTAAGTGTCCAACTCCTGGTTTCAGCTTAGGTCATGATCTCGGGGTTGTGAGACTGAGCCCTGCGTCAGGCTCTGTTCCGCATGGAGTCTGCTCTCCCACCTCCTCTGCTTCTCCTCCCACTCATGCTCTCTCTTTCTCTCTAAAATAAATAAATAAAATCTTTCCCAAAAAAGGGAAAGCATTCTCTTTTTGTTTAACTTATTTAATGTATTTTAAAATTGGCAATATATACACACAAAAATAAATTGTACCAAAGGACATACAGTGAGAGCAAGTGGCAAGTAACAGTTTTTGAAAAATGTATAATCTTGTAGTTGAAAGCAGGTAACACCCAGGTGTTATATAAGACTGGGTGTTATATAAGACTGATGAATCACTGAACTCTATCTCTGAAACTAATAATATACCGTATGTTAATTAATTGAATTTAAATTTTAAAAATTAAAAAAAAATGAAAGTAGATACCTGCTAAACCAAATGAATTTCTGATATAATTATATGAAGTATAACAAACTTAGGAATAAAAGTGGGCAGTGAAGGAGGAAATGTTTTTGGACAACAGTGATACCGTGTAAGCAAGCCAAACTTACCCTTGCTTTCCCCCAAATCAGCTCCACTTAAGCTATTCTGACTTTTTATCGTTTCTTCCCATCCTTTTTCTTCTGAACCCATCAATTTTCTTACAGCTCCAGATTTTTAACAACAGCTCTCGTAGCAGTGAGCTTTAAAGTAGCAAGGGAACAAGAACCTTTGTTATGGTTCACTTAGGAATTTGCCTATATTTACTTAATTTCTCTCAATGTTTATTTCTAAAGATCCCTATTATTTATCTATATCACTCCATGACTTGATACTAGAATTAGTGAACTTAAGGACAAGCCAAGATATTTTACAATAGATAAAAATTATGGCTTGCTGATTGTTTTTTTCCACTTACTATAAAATTACTCAATCCTAGTCAATAAAGCCATTTTACTAGCTTTAGTAATGGGTTCTTCATTTGTTCCATTTGTTAGATTTCTTTTATTAGCTTGTAAAGCCATTCTAAAGACTTGGTTTTTGAAAATCTGAAATTAAATTGAACATTTCACATTTGTAAATCAGTTTTAAATGATCATAGCATTTTTTTATTAAAGATTTTATTTATTTGACAGAGAGAGAGCGAGAGCAGGAACACAAGCAGGGGGAGTGGGAGAGGGAGAAGCAGGCTTCCCGCTGAGCAGGGAGCCCGATGTGGGGCTTGATCCCAGGACCCTGGGATCATGACCTTAGCCGAAGGCAGACGCTTAATGACTAAGCCACCCAGGTGCCCCGATCATAGCATTTTATATTTCATTTTGGCAATTGTATAGGTTAGGGTTGTTCAGAGAAACAGAACCAATTGCAGATACATATATATGTGATAATATAATAATAATATAGTATTAATAAAATATAACATTTAATGATAATAAAATGACATTGATATTGTTATTAATAATTAAAATGTATTGGGGCACCTGGGTAGCTCAGTTGGTTAAGCATCCAACTCTTGATTTCAGCTCAGGTCATGATCTCAGGGTTCTGGGATAAAGCCCATTGGGCTCCATGCTCAGCAGGAAGTCTACTGGAGATTCTCTCTCTCCCTCTCGCTCTGCCCCTCCCCCCACTTTCATGCACACACACACTCCCTGTCTCTAAAATAAATAAATCTTTTAAAAAAATAATTAAAATGTATTGACAATGAGTTATATGTATATACTTGCATATATAGAGATAGATTGATTATGAAGAATTGGCTCATGCAATTAGAGAGGCTAAGTCCCGCTATCTACCATCCACAAGCTTGAGACTCAAGAAAGCCAGTGGTGTAATTCAAGTTCAAGTCCAAAGGCCTGACAACCAGGGGCGCTGATGGTGTAAATCCAAGTTCAAGAGCAGAAGAGCAATGTCCCAATTCAAACAGGCAAGCAGGATGAGTCGCCTGGGTGGCTCAGTGGGTTTCGGGTCTGACTCTTCATTTCAGCTCAGGTCATATTCCCAGGGTCATGAGATCAAGCCCCATGCTGCCCATGGAGCCTGTTTGAGATTCTCTCTCTCCCTCTCCCCCAGCCCCTCCCCTCCATGCTCGCTCTCTTGCTCTCTCTAAAAAATAAAAGAAATTTAAGGGGCGCCTGTGTGACTCAGTCGGTTAAGCGGCTGCCTTCGGCTCAGGTCATGATCCCAGGGTCCTGGGATTGAGCCCCGCATCGGGCTTCCTGCTTAGCAGAGAGCCTGCTTCTCCCTTTCCCTCTGCCTGCCGCTCTGCCTACTTGTACTATCTCTCTGTCAAATAAATAAAAGAAATAAATAAAAGAAATTTAAAAATAAAAATAAATTTAAAAAAATAAACAGGCAGGCAGGGAACCAATCTTCCTTGCCTCCACTTTTGTTCTATTCAGCCCCTCAATGAATTAAATGATGCCCACCTACAGTGGGAAGATAGTCTACCCTACTAGGTCAATTACTACTAAGTTGGTTATACAGTGGTGATTTTCTAACTCCATCATTCCTTCTATTAGTCGGCCTTTTTAAAATTCATGAGTTCATAGTGTTAAAGGGTTTTTCCTTGCTTTCACCCTTTCCGTATTTGCACCCCTTCTCAGAGATACTACATCTTTGGCTCCTCATAGCAGCAGTATATTTTCACATTTGCTTAATCTTACCATGAACACAAAATAGTTTGAGAATTCCTGCACTCATAGCACTATTAAAAACAAGCTTGCAAAGCATTCAAGTTTTGTTTGCAAATCTTTTTTGTCTTTAATTTGACAGTATATAGTCAAATTACTATGTTCAAAACTACTTGGATTAGTTCTCTTTTGTTAATGTTTTCTATTTTAATTCCAGTATAGTTAACAGTGCTATATTAATTTCAGGTGTATAATATAGTGATTCAACAATTCTAAACATTACTCAGTATTCATCACGATAATTGTACACTTTAATCTCCATCACCTATTTCACCCATCCCCCCCTCCACAAAGCTCCCCTCTGGGAACCATCAGTTTGTTTTCTATAGTTAAAAATCTGTTTCTTGGGGACACTTGGGTGGCTCAGTCAGTTAAGCGTCTGCCTTCAGCTCAGGTCATGATCCCAGGGTTCTGGGATTGAGCCCCACATTGGGCTCCCTGCTCAGCGGGGAGCCTGCTTCTCCCTCTGCCTGCCGCTCCCCCTGCTTGTGCTTGCTCACTCTCTCTCTCTGACAAATAAAATTTTTAAAAATATTTTTAAAAAAATATTTTTAAATCTGCTTCTTGGTTTGTCTCTCTTTTTTCTTCTTTGTTTTATTTATTAAATTCCATATATGAGTGAAATCATATAGTATTTAACTTTCTCTGACTTCTATTGCTTATTAGCATTATACTCCCTACCTAGTTCCATCCATGTTGTTGCAAATGGCAAGATTTCATTCTTTTTTATGGCTGAATAATATTCCATTGTATATATATACCACCTCTTCTTTACTCAATTCATCAACTGATGGACACTTGGGCTGCTTCCATAATTTGGCTATTGTAAATAGTACTGCCATAAACAGAGGTGCATGTATCCCT